AAAAAAAAAAAAAATAGAAAACAAAGATCATAGACCTCATTTTTTGCATTGTACTTGATACATTAATTAATCGAGCTTTGAATTAGTGTTCTTATAGGTTGAAAAGTCATCACTTATAAAATTTTCTGTTACATCCATGACATTTGTGAGAAGTGTTCTGAGTACTTATTAAGTCCATGAACGATGGCTATAAATTAAACAAGTAGAGAAGTAGAGTGTAAGAGTATTAGGATCATAAAGGAGTTTTAGTCGTCGAATTGTGAACTACATACATGCATTGCGCGCAACTATTTACTAGCTAGTTAAAGAATAATTCTAAAGAAAGACTGGACGCTCTCCGAAAAAAGTTTGTTCAATCGCTTCAAACGTTTATATGTATGTGTTGTTACACAAAAATCGTACTCGTGTACTCCACGAACACTACAACATGCACTTAGATTGAATTATCAAATTCAGTTGGATAGCTTTTCTTATTGTATAATTGATACTCATTTTTGTAACACCATTCATGTTCGATTTTACCTTGTATGAGAGAACGAGTAAACTCCGTATAAATTAAGTTGGCGTAACATAAAAAGAGAGACAAAGGGAAAGAAACTATAATATGAAAGAACAAAACGACAACTTAAAATATTCTTAATTACCTACTAAAATATCAGTAGGTAATTAAGAATATCTAAAATATAATCATTGTTGTAAAATATGAACATATATTTGGTAGGTATAGATATATAAGAACAAAATTAAACTTTATATCTTCATGAGTATCTTGTTTAATTACTATTACCTTTGCTCTAATGTAATGAAGTGAAAGAGGATAAATTACATATTAAGCCTCGTCCAATTTCGTTACTTATCATACCAATATTTGACTCACAAAAAATTAATCATAACACCAAGCATGCGCAATATCTTTCTTTTACCACTTTATACTCCTCTAATACATAATAAATATTTTCATATATATTACAAGTGTCAACCTGTAGCATTTAAGTAGCTTCACTTTTTTATTGGGGGTGCTCTATAAATAGAGAAATTCATGAGACTATACTTCCCATCCTAAAACCCTAATTCTAAAAATCATAGTGAAGACTATATAGTATAATATACTACACAAAATGAAGGCAACTAATTTTCTTATACTCTTTTCCTCTCTTTGTTCCCTCCCTTTCTTAAGCGCGCACGATTTGATATCTCTCGTTTGCCCCAAAACATTGGCCTCGAATTGCAACAAGACTTTGACTTCGCTCGCCTATACCAAACAGTGCGGAACCAACCTAACCGACACCCCCAAAACCATAAGGTGTGTGGGCCATTTCGTTAACATGTTGGCCATAAATGCAACCAAGGCAGCCAACATGTCCATATCGCTCGCCAAGGCTCCCTCGCCGGCCGGCCCAAAAAAAGTAACGGCCCATGATGACCCGGCCCAATTGTGCATGCACGAGTGCAATTCCGCGGTGGGCCAACTCAAGGTGTGCGCGGAACTCTGGAACAAGGCCGCCAAGTTCGAACTCAGCGGCATCAACGCGATGGGCTCGGCTGCCGAAACGGACATCGAGACATGCACGGACGGTTTTAAGAATTTGGACATGCCGGCTTTGAAGACCCAACTCAGCATAGCGAAGGAGCACATCTCTATCATGCTGGCCATATCCAACATGGTTTAATAATTATATCTCTTTAACTACTCTATGTTCCAACTCACTTTCCAAGCTTGCTAATGTATTAGGGAAAATGAAAAACAAAAGAAAGAAAATGAATGTCGTATCGTATGAATGAGTGATTATTACCAGAAATAATATATATATATATATATAAGATAGTTTTTGTTTATTTCTCTTTTTTTTTTTCAGTTTTATTATTATTTCCTTCTATTTGTGTGTATGTGAAGTGGCTTCGTGCCGGTGGCCGTGCATGAAAAATCCTTTGGGCCCTGAGCCCATTACTTAATTAGTAGATAATAGGGCTTTATTCATCTTATGGACCTAATAATTATTGAGCCCAAAACGTAAAAAGTAAAAAATTAATGTAGAATTAAA